AATATAAAAGATTTACAAAAAGTTAGTTATTTGAAAACATAAACAAAATTGATAAAACTTCAGCAAGACTGTCTAAAGAAAAAAAAAGGACCCAAATAAAAATAATCAAGGCCGGGCTCAGTGGCTCAGCCTGTAATCCCAGCACTTTGGGAGGCCGAGGCAAGTGGATTGCCTAAACCCACAGGTTCAAGACCAGCCCAGGCAACTTGGCAAGACCTTGTCTCTACAACAAATCAAAAATTAGTTGGGTGTGGCAGCACGTGCCTATAATTCTAGCTACTTGGAAGGCTGAGGTGGAAGGATTATTGGAGCCCAGGAGGTCAACACTGGGGTGGCTCTGAATGTGCCTCTGTACTCCAGCCTGGGCAACACAGTGAGACTCCAACTAAAAAAAAAAATCAAAGATGATAAAGGAGACATTACAACTGATACCACAGAAATGCAAATGACAATGGGACTATTATGAACAACTATACACCAGCAAATTGGAAAGCCTACAAGAAATGAATAAATTCCTAGGCACATACAACCTACCAAGACTGCATAATGAAGAAACAGAAAACCTGAACAGACCAATATGAATAACAAGATCAAAACAGTAATTTAAAAAAACTCCCATGAAAGAAAAGCCCAGGACCTGATGGTTTCACATCTGAAATCTACCAAACATTAAAAAAAAAAACTAATAGCAGTTTTATTCAAACTATTCAAAAAAACTGAAGAGGAGGGAATACTTATTAATTTTATAAGGTCATCATTGCCCTGATACAAAAACCAGACAAAGAAACAACAGAAAATAAAACTATAGGCCAATTCCCTGATGAACAAAGATGCAAAAGTCCTCCAAATACTAACAAACCAAATTCAACAATACATTAAAAAGATCATTCACCATGATCAAGTGGGATTCTTTCCAAGGATGCAAGGATGGTTCAGCATATGCAAATCAATAAATGATTTATATATCACATTAAAAGAATCAAGGACAGGCTGGGCATGGTGGTTCAAGCCTGTTATCCCAGCACTTGGGGAGGCTGAGGTGAGAGGACTGCCTGAGCCCATGGATTTGTGACCTGTCTAGGCAATTTTGCAAGACCTCATCTCTACAATAAATCAAAAAATTAGACAGGCATGATGGCACGTGCCTGTAGTTCCAGCTACTTGGAAGGCTAGGCAGAAGAATCACCTGAGCCTAGTAGGTCGACACTGGGGTAGCTGTGAGTGTGCCACTGCACTCCAGCCTGGGCAACGGAGTGAGACTCTAACTCAAAACAAAACAAAAAAGAATCAAGGACAAAAACCATGTGCTCATTTCAGCAGATGCTGAAAAAGCATTTGATAAATTCAACATCTAGTCGTGATAAAAACTCTCAACAAACTGGGTACAGAGGGAACATACCCCTCAAAACAATAAATGCCATATATGACAAACCTACAGCTAATGTCATATTGAACAGGAAATAATGGAAAGCCTTTCCTCTAAGGTCTGGAATAACTCAATGGCTCACTTTTATCACTTTTGTTCAACACCGTACTGGATGCCCTAGTCAGAGAAATTAGATACGAGAAAGAAATGAAGGACATTCAAAAAAGAAGTATTTTCTGCAGATGACATGATCTTATAATTAGGAAAACCTAAAGCCTCCACCAAAAAGACTGTTAGAATTGATTTTTTAAAATTCAGTAAAGTTACAAGATACAAAACCAACACACAAAAATCAGTAGCATTTTATATGCCAGCAGCAAACAATCTAAAAAAAGAAATCAAGATAGCAATCCCACTTAAAATAGCTACAAAAAAATACAAACTACCTAGGAATACATTTAGAAATGAAAGAAGTTTTCTACAAGGAAAAACTATAAAACACAGATGAAAGAAATTGAAAGGACACAAAAATTGGAAATCTATCCTATGTTTATGGGATTGAATTAGCATTGTTAAAATGTCCATACTACCCAAAGAGGTCTATGAAATCAGTGCAATTCCTGTCAAAATACCAATGACATTCTTCACAGAAATAGAAAAACCAATCCTAAATTTCCTGTGGAACTGCAAAAAAACCCCTAAATAGCCAAAGCAATCCTGAGCAAAAAGAACAAGGTTGGAGGCATCAAACCATCTGACATAAAAATACACTACAAAGTTATAGTAAACAAAGCATAGTACAGGCATAAAAACAGACACATAAACCAATAGAAAAGAATAAAGAATCCAAAAATAAATTCATGCATATACAACCAACTCATTTTTTTTTTTTTTTTTTTGAGTTGGAGTCTCACTCTGTCGTCCAGACTGGAGTGCAGTGGCCGCTCCCGGCCACCGCAGCCTCGGTCTGCTGGGCTCCAGCGACCCTTCCGCCTCAGCCTTCCGAGTAGCTGGAATTACAGGCATGCGCCACCACACCCAGCTGATTTTTTTTTTGATTTATTGTAGAGATGAGGTCTCACTGCCCAGGCGGGTCTCGAACCCGCGGGCTCAGGCAATTCACTCACTTCAGCCTCCCAAAGGCGTGGGATTACAGGCTGAGCCACCGAGCCTGGCTCCAACTCATTTTTTAACAAAGGCACAAGACCATACATTGGAAAGGACAGTCTCTTCAATAAATGGTGCTAGGAAAACTGGATATCCCTATGCAGAACAAAACTAGACCCCTATCTCTCACCATATACAAAAATTAACTCAAAATGGATTAAAAATGTACATCTAAGACTTAAAACTATGCAACTACTTGAAGGAAACACTGGAAAAATGCTTCAGGACACTGGTCTGGACAAAGATTTTTTGGGTAAGACCTCAAAAGCACAGACAATTTAAAAAATGCAGAAAAATGGGATTACATCAAGCTATAAAGCTTCTGTACAGCAGAGGAAGCTATCAACAAAGAGAAAACCTACAGAATGGGAGAAAATATTTGCAAATTGTCCATCCAATAATAACCAGCATAAGAAACTCAAAACAACCTATAGCAAAAAGAAAACCCTAAATATTTTCATTTTAAAATGGGCAAAAGATCTTAATAGACATTTCCCAGAAAGAGACATTCAACTGGCCAAAAGGTATGTAAAAAAATGTTCAACAGCAATAATCATGAAAGAAATGCAAATCTAAAACAAGATGAGATATCATCTCACCCCAGTTAAAATGGTCATTACCAAAAAGACAGAAAATAACAAATGCTGGCAAGGATGTAGAGAAAGAGGAATGATTTTATACTGTTGGTGAGAATGTAAATTAGTACAGCCACTATGGAAAAAAAAATATGGAGGTTCCTCAAAAAGCTAAAAATAGAACTACCCTATGATCCAGCAAGCTCACTTCTGTGTGTATATCCTAAAGAAAGGAAATCAGTATATTGAAAAGATATTTGCACTCCCATGGTTATTGCAGCACTATTCATAATAGCCAAGAGGCAGAATCAACCTAAGTGTCCATCAGTGGATGTGCAGATAAAGAAAATGTGGCACATATATACAATGGATTATTATTCAGTCATAAAAAGAATGAAATTCAGTACTATGCAGCAACATGGATGGAACTGGAGGGTAATATGTTAACTAAAACAAGCCAGGCACAGAAAGACAAATACCACAAGTTCTCGCTCATGTGGGAGCTAAAAAAATTAATCTCATGGAGGTAAAGAGTAGAATGGTTGTTACTAGATGCTGGAAAGGGTTGGCAGAAGCAGGGGATAAAGAGAAATTGGCTAATGGGTACAAAAATACAGTTAGATAGAAGAAAGGATGATACAGTAAGGCAGCTATAGTTAAGAATTTATTATGTTTCAAAATAGCTAGAAGATTTGGAATGTTTCTAACACAAAGAAATGATAAATGTTTGAGAGGAGGGACATCCCAATTACTCTAATTTGTTCATTATAGTTTATATGCACATATCAAAATATTACATGTTGGCCGGGCTCGGTGGCTCAGCCTATAATCCCAGCACTTTGGGAGGCCGAGGTGAGTGGAATGCCTGAGCTTGAGGGTTCGAGACCCACGTGGGCAACTTGACGAGACCTCATCTCTACAATAAATAAATAAAAAAAAGTTAGCTGGGCATGGTAGCGCGCACCTGTAGTTCCAGCTACTTGGAAGGCTGAGGTGGAAGGATCACCGGAGCCCAGCAGGTCGAGGCTGCAGTGGCCAGGAGTGGCCACTGCACTCCAGTCTGAGTGACAGTGAGACTCCAACTCAAAAAAAAAAAAAAAAATTACAGGTACCCCATAATATGTACAACTATTATGCAACAATTTAAAAAATAATTTAGCTGGGCTCACACCTGTAATCTCAGCACTTTGGGAATTTGAAGCAAGAGGATTGCCTGAGTCCAAGACTAGCCTGGGTAACTTGGCGAGACCTTATCTATACAGTAGATCAAAAAATTAGCCAAGCATGGTGATGCACAACTGTAGTTCTAGCTACTTGGAAGGCTGAGGTGGAAGGATCGCCTGAGCCCAACAGGTTGAGGCTGTGGTAGCCATGAGCACTCCAGTCTGAGCAATAGAGTAAGACTCCAATTCAAAAAAAAGAAAAAAAAAATTATGATTTGGCATTAATTGATGCTTTGTTAAATATTTATTTGTACCTTTCTATTCTGACTTAACACAAATAATAGGTACTTCTACAGAGAACATTAAAAAAGAATGGCTTCCCATTATAGTAATCTGCTTTCTACTTGAGGTATTCAATGAATAGTACTATTAACAGTATAGCTGCTGTGCTAAGTACTGAGATACCAGACAAATTATGGTGAACAAAATGACAAAGTCCCTCCTTCATAGAGACAACACTCTAGTGATGAAGACAAGAACTAAGTACAAAATATATATTAGGAAAAGACTTTTCCTAATATATATAACATCAATGTCATAAATAAAAATTATAAACTGATTCGTACTATGAAAGAAGATGGGAACAGCTAGGTAGACTTACCAACCAGAAGAATGAGCCAAAATGCTTCAGGGCAGGGAGTTTGGTCTCATAATCTTAGTAATACTCACATCTTGGACTTTCTGGATGAAAGGATCTTTCCATTCAAAGACTACAAAAAACAACTGAGCACTTTTCTCAGCAGCTGGTCTCTGGTCAATGTAGTTAACCACACTTGTCTAGACATGGAGGAGAGAGAGCAGCATTAGCACCTCTGTGTGGCCCCCTTGCCTGGGCCTGAGAAAGGAGAGTAGGAAGGGGATGGGAGACCCTGGCTTTCCTCATAACATCTTTTGGAGGGAGAAACAGCCAAAATCTCATATACACAAGATCCTGACATTGGTAGCACAATCAGAGGTTCATAGTTCTTTGGGGAAATAGGTAGGATCTGAGGTGTATAATGGGAGTTTTGGAGCGTCACGAACTTTGTCATTAGGTATCTGTCCTCACAATTAAACCCCATTAAAACTATCCTGTGCCGGGCTCGGTGGCTCAGCCTGTAATCCCGCGCCTTTGGGAGGCTGAGGTGAGCGGATTGCCTGAGCCCGCGGGT